AAGCTACCTTTAGCCAGACAGCTGTAATGATTAGTGTAGGATTGCAGCAATCACTGTAACGATGAGACATACATTGTGTGTTTTTCTTGCAGCTACTCTCATCTGATAACTAACTGGCCTCTCCCGATACTGGCCATCTGGCTGATTCTAATGCTCATCTGTACTCTGGCCAGCTTACTGGCTGGACAAATGCCAGACTTCTCGGATCCTTTAATGGTGAGTGTTTTCTGATTCAGCGCCATTAGCTACAAGCTTCAGCCCAGTTCGCTGAATAATAAATTGCATTTTCTATGTTTAGTTTCAAATATTGCTAAGATTATGTAATTGTTGTGAGGATTTAATGGCACTTTGCTTGTTATGTTGTTTGGTTTTTGGGGAGTGGACAGCATTAATTAAAAGACGTTCAAATTGAAAAGACATATTGTCCCGTAACAGTCAATTTATATGGCCTTCAAGGCTTCTGATTCCTCTAATTCTAAAATCTCTTTCATTGAAAACTGTTAGTAAAGAACAAATTCAAACACCATAACCACTATAACCCATTGTCGAATTGTTTTTGAACAATTTGACACAATCCAAGCATTCTCAAGCACATTAGAAATATTACTTGTATTCAAGTCTGGCAGCTCAACCAATGAATGCTGTTCAGATATGGAGAATATTGAAGTGGAACTTCCTGACTAGAGATATGGACAGCAAGGGTCGAACTGCAGGAGAATCTCATTTTGTCAAACTGTTTGAAAATGGTTTGATGTAGAACCATTGAAGGTACCATGTTCAATACTGGTACCATAAACACGGTAATGTAGTGGTTATTGTGCTCAGAGTGCCACTTTAAGAATGATATAGATGGTGGCAGCGGGGGCTACTCTGTATTTATATTATGTATTGTTCTTCATAGTATTCTGTTTGTATTGAAGTAATATGTTCCCATTCCAGGGCTTTGAACCCAGAGACACAGATATTGGGAGGAAGTTAACTACCTGGAAAACCATTCAGAGTAACACTGGCAACAAGAAAATGCTGTCTGTCTATCCTCATGGTGAGAGCAACAGGTATGTACCATGGTGGGAAGAACAGGTATGTACCATGGTGGGAAGAACAGGTATGTACCATGGTGGGAGGAACAGGTATGTACCATGGTGGGAGGAACAGGTATGTACCATAGTGGGAGGAACAGGTATGTACCATGGTGGGAGGAACAGGTATGTGCCATGGTGGGAAGAACAGGTATGTACCATAGTGGGAAGAACAGGTATGTACCATGGTGGGAGGAACAGATATCTACCATGGTGGGAAGAACAGGTATGTACCATGGTGGGAGGAACAGATATGTACCATGGTGGGAAGAACAGGTATGTACCATGGTGGGAGGAACAGATATGTACCATGGTGGGAGGAACAGGTATGTGCCATGGTGGGAGGAACAGATATGTACCATTGTGGGAGGAACAGGTATGTGCCATGGTGGGAGGAACAGGTATGTACCATGGTGGGAGGAACAGGTATGTACCATGGTGGGAGGAACAGGTATGTACCATGGTGGGAGGAACAGGTATGTACCATGGTGGGAGGAACAGGTATGTACCATGGTGGGAGGAACAGGTATGTGCCATGGTGGGAGGAACAGGTATGTACCATTGTGGGAAGAACAGGTATGTACCATGGTGGGAGGAACAGATATCTACCATGGTGGGAAGAACAGGTATGTACCATGGTGGGAGGAACAGATATGTACCATGGTGGGAGGAACAGGTATGTACCATGGTGGGAAGAACAGGTATGTACCATGGTGGGAGGAACAGATATGTACCATGGTGGGAAGAACAGGTATGTACCATGGTGGGAAGAACAGGTATGTACCATGGTGGGAGGAACAGATATGTACCATGGTGGGAGGAACAGGTATGTACCATCGTGGGAGGAACAGGTATGTACCATGGTGGGAGGAACAGGTATGTACCATAGTGGGAGGAACAGGTATGTACCATAGTGGGAGGAACAGGTATGTACCATGGTGGGAGGAACAGGTATGTACCATAGTGGGAAGAACCGACTATGGACCCTGTAAAATGTAATCTATAAGTCTCCATTTGTGTATTTGGACTATATGGTTCAGGAACCGAACAGCTGCACAAACTAGAGACCACCCTAGAGTTGTTAAGCCTAATTGATACTTTGTAGCAATTTTCAACGCAGGGTTCTAAGTGTTCGTCTGGGTGGCCACATTTCCTATGGATGACCACGAGGTGGCGGCCATCTTGTTCGCATGAACACAGGCAGCGGTGTTTGGTCGTCAAGTTCATGGAACTATTTTCAGACACCGAAACTCCCGAACACCGCTGGACTTCCATAATCACCTGCGTTCAGTTCTACAACACTTAGAAAGACGCTGTTCAAGGGAAATGTTCCCCGAACAAAGGAAACAAGCTCCAGGGTAAGACTATTGACTCTGTTCGGTAGTTTGTTTGTTTTTAAACTACCTAACTAGACCGACCGCAAGCCCTGATTCTCTGGAACTGTTTTGTGCATGAGACCATGCATTCAGTCGGTCAAATTATGCCTTCCAAGAAATTCCTAAACCCTTGAACTGATCTGGTTGATTGTAACGGACCGTTTTGCACACAAGAGGTTAAAAACCGTTTAGGCGATATTCCCCTTTCAGATGCACAGGCAGCTACTGCAATCACCAATCTCCCAAACTGCAAACACATGAATTCACCAATCTCCCGAACTGGAACCAGGGGAATGCTCCAAACTCCAGAACAGGAAACACACAAATTCACCAATCTCCCGAACTGCAAACACACGAATGCTGTAAACAGCCGAACAGGAAAAACCATACGAACAGTTTACACTCCTGGCAGTCGCACTGTAACAGCACACACACTGCCGCTGGGGAGGAAGGACGACACCTTCAGCTCCCTGTGACACATACTGCCGCTGGGGAAGAAGGACGGCACCTTCAGCTCCCTTGGACTCAGTTGACTGCTGGGGAGAGGGATTAACTGTCTCCTCTCCTAAGGACACACACTGTCGCTGGGGAGGAAGGACGGCACCTTCAGCTCCCTGGGACTCACACTGCCGCTGGGGAGGAAGGACGACACCTTCGGCTCCCTGTAACTCACACTGCCGCTGGGGAGGAAGGACAGTACCTTCGGCTCCCTGGGACTCACTCTGCCGCTGGGGAGGAAGGACGACACCTTCGGCTCCCAGTAACTGACACTGTCGCTGGGGAGGAAGGGCGGCACCTTCAGCTCCCTGGGACTCACACTGTCGCTGGGGAGTAAGGACGACACCTTCGGCTCCCAGTAACTCACACTGCCGCTGGGGAGGAAGGACGGCACCTTCGGCTCCCTGTAACTCACACTGTCGCTGGGGAGGAATGGCGGCACCTTCAGCTCCCTGGGACTCACACTGTCGCTGGGGAGGAAGGACGGCACCTTCGTCTCCCTGTAACTCACTCGGCCGTTGGGGTCTCTCCCTCCTGGCCAACTCTGCCAGGAATTGCAGGTACTCTCCTATTATATTCTTGACGTGTTGCACGGATCTCTCCAAGGGGTTGGGTTCATAGACAGACAGCACCACATTAACCTCTGTGTCAAACTGCTCCTGAGTGTAGCCGGGCGCCATGCTTGCTCTGCCTAAGTTGGTTCCTTTGTAGATAGGGGTGCTGTACGGATACTAGCGTTGCCCTCAATTTGTAATCCAGGAACTGGTGTTGTCTTGTAGCTGTCCTTCTGGGCTGTGGGAATGATCCCGCCGCTTGCCACCAATTGTAAGGGACCGTTTTGCACACAAGAGATTAAAAACCGTTTAGGCAATATTCCCCTTTCAGATGCACAGCCAGCTACTGCTATCACCAATCTCCCAAACTGCAAACACATGAATTCACCAATCTCCCGAACTGCAAACACATGAAAACACCAAATCCCGAACAGGAAACACACGAATGCTGTTAAACAGCCGAACAGGAAAAACCATACGAACAGTTTACACTCCTGGCAGTCGCACTGTAACAGCATACAACACAATCCCCCCCAAGAACGAGACGACACTTCGTTTAAGGCTCAAGCAGAACTGATTTACTGGGGCTACCTGCCCGGCTTTTATGCAGGTCTCCCACCTGGTGGACACTCCCCTAGGCCTAGGAGACCAGATGGAAGACTGGGAAACATATTGGACATTGACCAATCACAAGCTTACAATCCCACAATGCATCACAATCCCTCCTCTCTGTCCTGGAGATAATTAGGAAGTAATCCAATTATCTCCAAGAACAGAGGCAAAACTCCATTAACCACATGGCAGACAAAGGACAATAAAAGACATAAAATTACAAACTGTTACATTTATCACATAGAACATACACATTCCACCTATCCCCAAATAGCTTAGATCTGAGCGCACATTATTACCGGATGGCGCTCAGATCACGTACATACAGTTCAATCGCCATGTAGCCAAAGTCTTTCATACAGTCTTTCAGTATACGGCTGGGCTCCATGGCATAGCTATCTGGGGTAGCATGGTTTAAACAGTAAAGTACCGAATGGACTGGTGTTCGGATAATTGACTGCAGGTAGGAGAAGGGAGGTCGGCGGCTCAGTGGTGTTCGCACAAATAAGTTCGCATCATATTCACATAAAACATACATATTCAGAATCAGCATACTTTAAATATAAACATAACCAAAAATCATGCAAATCCTTCCATTAGCTCAAAAGTTAGTCTAAAGTCCTTTGTGACCAAAGGAAGCATGGCTTTTCTGCCCAAAACCAGTTCCACAGAGTCTTCTATCCTGGAGACAATTGGGAAGTAATTCAATTATCTCCAAGGACAGAGGCAAAACTCCATTGAACACATAGTTGCAAAAAGACATAAAATTACACAATGTTACAATTACTACATAAAACATATACATGCAACATATCCCCAGCATAGGCGTGCGCAGCCTATTGCATTAGGGTGTGCACCCTAAAGCACAAACACACGCCGCGTGTGTGTGTGTGTGTGTGTATGTATGTGTATATATATATATATATATATATATACATACACACACACACACATACACTGCTGTGTGTGCTGTTAGTGTGATGTGTGTGTGAGGGTGCTGTTAGTGTGAGTGTATGTGTTTGTGACTGTGCTGTTTGTGTGTGAGGGTGTTTGTGTGTGTATGTTTGTCCTGTGAGGGTGCTGTTTATGTGAGTGTCGTGTATTTGTGAGGGTGCTGTTTGTGTGTGTGTGTGAGGGTGTTGTGTTTTTTTTAAAGGTGCTGTGTGTGTTTGTGAGGGTGCGGTTAGTGTACTGTGTGTGTGTGAGCTGTATGTGTGTAGGTGCTGTATGTGTGTGTGCTGTATGTTTGGAGGGATTTGGCAGATTAGTAAATCCTTGCTGCCATGTTCCATCCCTGGTGGTCCAGTGGAGAGTGAACTCTAGCTTGCGGGGCTAGAGTTAACTCTCGCGAGATCTGAGCGTTGCCGCAGCAACACTCAGATATTGCGAGAGGAACCTGGCGGAGCGTCTGTCTAGAGCTCCCTGGGTCCTCTCCTGCCTCCCTCCATGCTGCTGTGGGCCGGTGAGGTAGATCTTTGGTCTCCCCGCTGGCCCATGGAGGCTTAGAGCAGAGCCGACACTCAGATAGCGCCGGCTCTGTGTGTGTGTGTGTGTGTGTGTGTATATATATATATATATATATATATGCGTACACACACACACTCACAGACACATTCAGACACACACACATACATACACTCACAGACACATACATACACTCACAGACACACACACACACACATTCACAGACACACACACACACAGACACTCAGACACACACTCAGACACACAAACACTCACAGACACACACACACATACACTCAGACACACAAACACACACATTCACAGACACACACTCAGAGACACACACACACACTCACACACCTTCACACACACTCACACACAGACACACACTCAAACACAGACAGACACACACACACACACAGACACACACACTCACACACAGACACACACACTCACACTCACACACACACACACACTCACACACAGACACACACTCAAACACAGACACACACACAGACACACACAAGAACAAATTATTACATTTTAATTTAAAAAAATTCCACCCAGCCTCCTACCTGGAGTGGACTTTTCCCTGGGGTCCAGTGGGGGCGGGCGCCGCTCTCCAGCTCAGCGCGCGGCGAGGGAGCTCTCTGCTGTCTGCTCTCTGCTCCCTGCTCCCTCTCGCCGCGCGGGCTGTCTGCTGGAGCTGGGAGCCGGAATATGACGTCATATTCCGGCTCCCGGCATCAGCGCGCGGCGAGAGGAAGCAGAGAGCAGACAGCAGAGAGCTCCCTCGCCGCGCGCTGAGGTGGGGGGGGATCCATCACCTCTTGCCCCCCCCATGACAGGGGCAAGAGGTGAAACAGGGGGCACTGAGTGCCTGCAGGAACAGCGTTCCTGCTCAAAAAAAGTGCAGGAACGCTGTTCCTGCAGGACTCAAACCATAGGCGTGCCACGGGGATTAGGGTGTGCCCAGGCACACCCGGCACACCCCGTGCGCACGCCTATGATCCCCAGATAGCTTAGATCTGAGCGCACATTATTACCGAATGGCGCTCAGATCACATACATACAGTTCAATCTCCATGGAGCCAAAGTCTTTCCCATAGTCTTTTGTTACACAAATAGGCTCCATGGCATAGCTATCTGCGTAGCACTACTACCATACTGAAGGACCAGAACGCCCCGGCAGAAATATACAAATAAACCTTTCTGCAGGGGAAAATACAGCTATCAGCACATGGGCCATAGTCTGAAGGCAGGAGGCTAGCCTGTAGTCCCCTCATGGCACAAGTGGCGAAGGGCACTTCGCCACATAACCGCAGCTTCTCGGCGGTCAATTGACGGCACATTCCAGTTCCCAGGTGGTCGATCGTTCTGGTACTTTGTTCGGTAGATTGAATCTACCGAACACCTCGGCAGAAAGGCACGAATAAGCCTTTCTGCAGGGAAAATAAAAGGTTTTAAATGCCGGGCCATAGTCTAAAGGGAGCAGGCGAGCAACCAGGCTCCTCCAGTGGACAGTGGCGAGGCTGGTTCCGCCACAGTGATTTTTGGATATGTTGGTCACCCAGATCGGTGCTATCAGAGGATGTAACTTTTGTGGGGTTTTATGTATTTTTAAGGTACCTTTGGAGTGTTTGGGAAATGTGTATTTTTGTACCTGGAGATATTTGAGTTTAATACAGTGCTTGACTCAATTATCTCTTAGGCACAGAGGAGGGATTATCTGATTTTTTATGGGAGTTTCCTGGACCTGAGAGTCAATGTAATTGTGTATATGTTTTAACTGTGGTTTACTCTCAGGTCCAGCAGGGAGTGCCCCTTGTATGTAGACCTGCATATAAGGCCAGTTGTGGCTGCCAACAAAGGTATTCCAGCTTGTATTCCCAGAACTATGTGTCATCTGGTTACTGGGAGGGGTAAGGGCTATTCTTTAATCACTGTTCCAGTGCGGAGGAATTAACGGGGAAAGTTCTTGTAAGGACTAGAGCTCCCAGGACTGAGTGTCGTCCGGTGCCTGGGGGTGTCTAGAGCGAATTCCCCATTCGGCTCCAGAAGGGAGCAGTTCCAGAACCACAGTCAAGCCACCGTGAGTGAGGGCAAGAGTGCTGAGGTTTGTCCACTGTTCCAGCTAAGAAGCGGTCCTTGGCGGAGGTACCCAACCAGGGGTACAGGGAGCTCCATTACATGTACCATGTGTCACGACAAGTGACCCCAACACGCAGAATATAACCCAAATTAGAAAAAATATTACCGGACCTTAGAATGGCCGGGTTTAAAGTGGATAGGGATAGAATAGTCGAGGAAGTCAAGTAAAACCAGAGATCAGGATAACGATAAGGAATAGCCAAGTCAGGAAACCAGAAAACAGGATAAACGAGAAAACGAGCTGAGTCAGGATACCAGAAAGCAGAATAGTCAATATTAAACAAGCCACGTCAAGTACCACATAACACAGACAGGAATCAGAATAGCACTAGAGGAAACAACTAGTGAACCACAAGAGGGGCACTGAACGAAAGCAAAAGGTGCCCTTTTTTAGTGGAGCGTCTTTTGCTTTAATTCCACTCCCCCAAAACGTCAGGGAGTGTGGAATATTTAGAATGTTCGTGGCATAGCTGCTATGATGTCACACTGCCTCATAAAAGGGGGCGGCGTCCAAAATGTGATATGTCGCCGGGAGGAGTCGGCAACCGGAGCACCTCCTCGCGGGATTAAGGGAAGTTATTGTGGGAGGAATGGGTATTTCTGTAGCATCTTCCCCAGGTTCTGTGTCCCATGAACTTTCTTTGCCGTTATTCTAAATAATTGTTAAACAATGATTCAGTTATCCATAAATTCTCTCTCTCCAGTCTGGATGACTTGGATCTCAGCAGAAGAAATGAGAAGTTGTTTCAAGGCAGAGGTGGATCACGGTTACGGAGGATGGTGGAACAGAAGGACGGAGTGGATGGATTTTTTTGTGGTCCTCCAGGTAGGTTTAGTTATTACCACATAACGCAGGTATGGAGGAGAGTTAAAAATACTGGAGGTTCGGTGTTGAGGGATCAGTAAAACGGGGTAGACATACACTGACCAGCTGCAACATTGAACCCACTGAAGAGAATAACGTTGATTATATTGTTACAATGGCTCCTGTCCCTGCATGGGATACATTAGGCAGCAAGTGAACAGTCATTTCTGGAAAATGGGCAAACAAAAACATCTGAGTGACTTTGACAACAGCCAACTAGTGATGAATAAACCACTGGGTCAGAGCATCTCCAAAATGGCAAGTCTTGTGCAGTGTTTGAGTCCCTGTCATTGGTTCTTCTAGTACCGTGAGGGGGAGATGTCTGTTCCTTGCATATATCACTACTAGAAAAGGTACCTTAACCTTATAGCTGCAGTTATAATACACTGTGTGCGGGGGGACAGGGGACCTCCTTACACCATAACCTTATAGCTGCAGTTATAATACACTGTGTGCGGGGAGACAGGGGACCTCCTTACACCATAACCTTATAGCTGCAGTTAGAATACACTGTGTGCGGGGAGACAGGGGACCTCCTTACACCATAACCTTATAGCTGCAGTTATAATACACTGTGTGCGGGGAGACAGGGGACCTCCTTACACCATAACCTTATAGCTGCAGTTATAATACACTGTGTGCGGGGAGACAGGGGACCTCCTTACACCATAACCTTATAGCTGCAGTTATAATACACTGTGTGCGGGGAGACAGGGGACCTCCTTACACCATAACCTTATAGCTGCAGTTATAATACACTGTGTGCGGGGAGACAGGGGACCTCCTTACACCATAACCTTATAGCTGCAGTTATAATACACTGTGTGCGGGGAGACAGGGGACCTCCTTACACCATAACCTTATAGCTGCAGTTATAATACACTGTGTGCGGGGAGACAGGGGACCTCCTTACACCATAACCTTATAGCTGCAGTTATAATACACTGTGTGCGGGGAGACAGGGGACCTCCTTACACCATAACCTTATAGCTGCAGTTATAATACACTGTGTGCGGGGAGACAGGGGACCGACCTCCTTACACCATAACCTTATAGCTGCAGTTATAATACACTGTGTGCGGGGAGACAGGGGACCTCCTTACACCATAACCTTATAGCTTCAATATAATACACTGTGTGCGGGGAGACAGGGGACCTCCTTACACCATAACCTGTACATGAAATAGAAGATGTTTTGATACTCGTTGATTTGATTCTGTATGTGGTGTTTTTCAGGAAAGAGTTATTCGCAGCTGGTTTTCATGTCCAAAACAGCGGGGAGTTTATGGAACCTTCATGCGATCCAATCCATGTGCCAGATGGAAAATGAAAAGGTTAGCAGTGGAGATCCAGAACTGGGTGGATCACATCTTGTTATGATATGAATATAAACCCACCAGGAATAGAGACAGAGAAAGTATCTATACCGGTCCTTAGAGTGGCGGACTACAGAGAACAAAAAAATAATAATAAAGGA